AACCAGCCTGTTCAGCTGCTCGGAATTTCTGACGGAGTCTGATGTGTCCCTCGTAAATACTTCTGATTCTCGAGTTGATTCCCTGGATTTCATACCCTATCCGATAACGAGCCTTCATGTTCTTAATACAACACGAAAGCTTGTGCAGAAAACCGTAAAAACCATCACCGTGATTGTGAGCAAGAAGAAGAGAGAACTCATCTAGAACATCTTCGATATCGTGAGCGACATCTCTAATTTGTTTCACCCATACTTTAACTTCTTCGTCAGTTTCATCTAAACGGTCAAAAATTCTCAAGAACACCTTCATGCGCTCCAGTTCGGCTCTCACGTAAACAACTTCTTCACGACCACCGCTTATCAATTGCACCTCATTTGCTAGGAATGGTGTAAGCTTATCGAGTACAAACATAACGGCTGTTTCTGCCATGAGAAGCGGCAGTAAAAGTATTTGTAAATTGTTGTTTGAAAGAAAAGAATATGTAAATTGTGGTTTCAAAGAAGAAATACAATTAAAGTAGCTGTAATTTGTGGTTTCAAAGAAGAAGTACAAGTAGCTGTAGTTTGTGGTTTCAAAGAAGAAAGAAATTGAAACATCCAGGTGGGAGTTTCTTTAAGGGTGTGAACCCACGAATTTATAGTCTCTCATCTTCACTTCTGTTGCTACTTTCGTGTTAATTCCGCCATTAATGTCATGGGTGATGTTAGAACCCAATAAAGTTTAGATTAAAACTTATATACGACAAGAAACAAATTAATGATTTTTTTTTTTTTACTTAATTTAGTGAAGGTAATGCTAATTTATAATAGCTTTCTATATATAAATAAACACTGAAGGTGGTGACGTGAGATTACTAGAGTTATGTCATCTTATATTACTCTATTATCATGTTTAGTTGATAAGTACTATAAGATTGGTAATTTTTAAATATCAATAATAGATACTGTTGGTAATATTATAGGTAATCTAATTACCTATATTTTCTTAGGTATTCTAAGATTAGTAGGATAAATTTTTTTTTTTATAATTTTATCCTTTATTAATAAAATTTTAGGATAATGATGCCCTTATTTTTAAATTTATTTACATGAATATGGTTTTTACTATTTTACTCTAATTAATTAACTTTTTGGACCAAATTACCCTTGAATTCAAAACAAATTGCAGCCCACCCAAGCTGCCACCCCCACCCACCTATCGCTGTCGGCAACCACCGCCGCGACTAGTCACCGCCGCAGTCAAAACGACACACAAAAGTCCAAAAATGGCCGCCGTGTGTCTACCGCCAGATCTGTCACATCTTGCCATTTCCGGTCAGATCTCTGGCCAAAAATGGCCATATGGCACATAGAGACCATTTCTTGCCTTCTGTGCGCTGTTAGGTTGCTGGCGGCCGACAGTGACTGGGTTGGTGGAGGAGCTTTGTTGATTTTCCAAACTTTTATTATGGGGTTATTTTTACTAAGTTTTTAAATGCAGAGGTTATAACAATCCAAATAATAATCAATATTAAAAAATAATATAATAATAATATTTAATTAAAAGACAATTCAGTAATTTAAATAACATATCTATCAATTTATTCCTCCCAACCAAACATATTAATATAACATACCCACCTATTAACCAAATATATTTCTCTAAAGATTTACAGTAATCTTCAAGGTAATCAAACTTTCTAATAATCCAACATTCTCTGGACCAACGCCCCTGAAAGTAAATGGATTTTTTGTCTAAGGCAAAATGAGATCAAGTTACTTGGTCCTCAAGAAAGCATGTCAATACAAATTTAATACTATCTATCGACGTGTCTTTGATGTTAGAATTAGCAGGAAATAGTTATATTTAATTGACATCATATCAAAAGTTTATCTTAGTAAATGTAACCATGACTCCATCATGAGCAACATCATCTAATTAATTATTTTAATAATTTGAATGTGATTTCAGCTTATTTTACCCCATCTATATTTTTATTAAATTATTTTTCGTGTCGGTTCTTTAAACATGTACGTTTCATTCTGTTGATGCTTGGTGAATCTTGGTTGGTGGAGATGTATACTGAGATCTGATTGATGATAAAGTCGGCTGAGTTTTGATTGATGGAGATGACATCGGAATATTATTTAGTCATTAATACACTCGTAAATGACTTCAAGGTCTGAGTTGGAAGGAAGACTGTCATCTTCATGATCTGGATCATATATATTTCATTGAGGAAGAAAACAAAAGGGTTGTTATAATGAAGATATCGAAATGTTCTTGAAGAAACTTAGCAGCAATATCATAATTTTATCTTATGAATTCTCAAGTATTTACTCTAACAGTAAATCTACTTGTATCGGCCAATCATAAAGGTTTCAAATGTTGACTAACATTAACTTTATTATGGAGATGAAAATTACAGAGATGAACTTTAAAATTAAATATGAGATGGGAGGATGACTGATTCCATTTTGAGCGTAATAAAAAATGTAATTGTGTTGTTTTATTGGGGAAACGCTCTGAATAAAGAACCATATGTTGGCGTCCGACAAAAGTAAAGGTTTGTCGTTGAAAATAGTAGTGGTTATTACTAACAAATAGCATTGAATTTTTTATTCTTGGAAAATGTTATATTTAGAAGCTATAGGGTTCAATCAAAGACCGACTTCACAGTGTTTTCACAGGGAAAAACCAAGTGGAGTTTTGTAGTAGATAGAGCACGTAGATGATCATAAGGAAATACTTCATAATATTAATCGACCCCCAGAAGAAGAAAATTAATGAAGATGGTGTTTAATATTAATTCAGTCTTGGGTTGTTTTCCTTCCATAGGTGGAATTTACCTATCATAAAGAGATTTGTTATTTAGCTAAACATGTACAGACGGATTACGGCTGAACACACTGAGTCAAACGTAGAAAATCTGACGTTGTTTTGAATGTACAGTCAGTCATCTTATCTTGTTCTTTGACAAAGGCATAAAAGTTAAATATCGTTGGAAAATGTCTATCATTCATTTGGAATACTTTTAACATCAATAATATTGTAACTTCACCGTATTTCACAGGATCATTCATTCATAAAGTTAGCTGAATATTAATTATTATGCTTAAAAAGTAACGCTGATGTCATATTGATATCAGATATCAACTCAATAAGTGCCTAAAAAATAAAGTGTACAAGAGATATCTTATACCAAACTTATCTCATTTTAAGCGAAAAATGGATGAAAGCTTTTCATGTGTCAAGACAACTTGCAAAACATTCATTATATTGACCTCAAAAGTATATAAATTAGAACTTCTTTTCATAAAAGAGGAGGCTGGACAGATGAGAGCTAGACATAGATTTGAGCTTCATTATTTCTCTTATCATAGAAATAGTCAGAGAATAATAAAATAACAGTAGATGTAGAAGTTGCTTTAAGCATCCGAACCACTATAAAAACATTTTTTGTCAGTCTATTATTTATGTTTCTTCAATATATATAATCTCAGCACCATATTCAAATCTCATGGATCCATCACGTGTAATTTTTAAAACTCTCTTAACACTTTATACGTGCGAGTTATTGGTGCCCAAAATCAAGCATCAACAAATTCATTTATTTTTAATGTATTGTTCCTTCTATTTAATTAGATTAATCAGCTTCTTTATGTATCGTTCTGTGCCGATCGAGATTCATATATATCATGCATGCAACGCACACAAACTATCGATTTGAGCATGTCCACGTATAGAGCGGTTTTTCGAAACCATGGACGAGCTATATATTCAAGTCTTTGTTTATGCATAATTTAAACTAATCTATAGTATTGTAAATTATCAGAAACTTCACCTTAATAGAATATACAATGGTTGCTATTTTAATAGAATATAATATGTACACTTTTTCTTTTTTTAATTAATATGAGTATTTGTGGTCCTGTCCAAAGAAATAAATATAATTAATGACTGTTCACTTCAAAGACACAACGTTTCATCTTGACTTTGACTTTGATCTCGGATTTTGAATATGTAATAAGCAAAGATGTGTAGCTTCCATTCCATTCTCAGGATTTATAAGAGCTAAATAATTATTTAATAAGAAAAAACATAAGCCTTAGTTTGAGAATCAAAGTGGTGAAAAAAACGTGTACCAACCCAATATGAATAGCCTTACTATCCCCCTTTTTTTCTTGATAACTGGGGTGTCCTAAAAGTTTGCACGTAAACTCAACTAATTCTCGAAGTCTATTGAACACTCAACAAGTTCAAATGGTTAGATAACCTATAATATTATTATGAAAGGTGACTCTAAGGTTTAAATCCAAGAATTCAAGAAAGGAAATAAATCTCTTTGACCGTCAGATCAACCCTTAAGGTTCTTAATATCATTTTTATCGATCTAGTAAACTCAACTTATTTATATATATTATTTCTTTACTCTATTTTCATTTTTTAAAAGATTGAGAAACAGTGAGCCACACATAAAATCATAAACTTGTTTCACCAAAGTGGTCTTGACGAAGTTTGCCTTTTACAATTATAGATGTCAAATAAATCATTTTGTTACTTATTATATTATTTTATCTATAGATTGATTAATTGTAGATAGCTAAAGGGAACTCATTTATCGAGATTAGAAAATTAACGAGATGACAGCAGACAAGTTGAAATAATATAATGGTAATGCAGTGTGAATGTACAGTCAGTCATCTGGGCTTGTGCTTTGACATCGCATAAAGGTTAAGGATGGATGACTGTAATTGATAAAGATGGTTGGAAATTGTCAAGCGTATAAATTTACGCATTTGGAAAACTCTTTTAACATTATTTATTTCACAGAAGAAACAAAAATTTTTCATCTTGACTTGACTTTGATCTCAAATAATTAAATTTTGAATACCATGACAAGCAAAGATGACTAGTTTCCATTCTGCGGAATATATAAGAGCCAATGGATTATTAATTCTTAATTTTCATGAACAAATTAAGAATAAAAAATAATGAAACAGTTGTTGTGCCATTTCCTTTTCTTCTCCATTAACTTCAATAATTCCAAGGTAATGTATTACTTGAATAAGTACACATTTACAAACAATACAGTAGAGTAAAAAAAAAAAAAAAAAAAAAGTAATCAGCAAACTTGACAATACAAAGCATGTAAAATCTGGTAACTTCTACTTCCAAGGATCTAGGCAAATTTTCTATAAGCATCAGGCTACTCAAAAGCAGATTGATGCATGTTCAAGATCAATCTTGCTGCTGAATCAGGGAAAACAACAATAATAATAATAAATAGGGCGAAGGTGAAATTCTTTCACCAATTACAATAGTTAACTCTATATATCTTGCTTCTATCCCTATTGTGTTTCAGGGACTGTTAATTCACTCTTCATCAGAGTTGTCAAATGTTATTTTTTTAGCCTTTGGAGCATCTGCTGAAATTTCTCTAAAGTGAGCCCCGTAAAGCTTGGACTCCTGCATTGCAATGAGACAGAAAAAAATATTATAGATTGAACCGCTAAAACTATTTCAAGTTCAAAATGCACATTCAGGTACCATATTTAACAGCCTATAGTGTTTAAAGATGCCTTCAGCATCTCATAGACACCAACCATGTGGACACATGGTAGCATATCTTTATGGGACACTAAACTGAGTATGAAATGTCTAGTAAATGGATAGAGATGTACACCTTTTTCTTTACATGAGTACCGAATTTCAGAAGATCTGGTGGCACAATTTGCCCAGCTTCTCTCAGAACATTCACCAGCTCCCCAGAAAGTGCCTGAAATAGTGTCATATTGGCAACAATTTAAATATTACGCATTTTGGCTTTTAGAACAATAAGCTAGTTTTGACTACGGAGGTTAAGCAACAACAACATGATTGAGTTTCAGAAGCTACCTTATTGTGATGAGTGAAGAATGTGTGAGAGACACCCTTCTTACCAGCCCGGCCAGTTCTTCCTATTCTGTGAACATAATCCTCAGTTGTGAGAGGAAAAGTATAGTTAATAACTACTTCAACATCAGGAATGTCCAATCCCCGAGCGGCTACATCAGTAGCAACCTGCAGATATATTGTGTCAGTTAATATTTATACATGCATAGAAAAGGATAAAAACTTAAAAGTCAATATTGGACCCATCATTAAGCAGCATACCATCAAAGGACAGGTTCCCTGCTTGAACAATGATAGTGACTTCGTACGATCATGTTGTGCTTTCTTACCATGTATTGCAACAACCTTCCAACCACTGAGAACCAGAAAAATGTGAGGGAAAAAAAGGGAAATGAGTAGTACGTTAAATTTATCAATAAGTTTTGCCAGCTCTATCTTCAGATGGAGGGGCAGCTATAATTTTGCAGGGCTAATTCACCCAACTATTACACGAAGACAATAATGTTACCTCTTTCGCAGCATATTTTCAAGACGATCAGCTTCCAATTGGTACAAGGCAAAAACTAACACTCTGTTCCTGGTCATGAGTAACAAGCACTGTATCAGCATGATGTGAGAGCACTCATGTCTAAAGACATTATGATAAAATGAAAGGCGATTCAACTCTAAATTTCTTCAGACATCCAAGGTTTTCCTTTCTTTAAATGTAAGCCTTTCTTTAAAAGAACAGGTAGACCAAGGCATTTGGAAACCAACCCTCTGGAATCTATGAAATGATCGAGCAAGGAAGTTGCAAATTTTAAATTTGATATATGATAAATCGCCCAAAGAAAAGCGAAAAATTCCAATTAAATTAGAAACATTAAAGCGGTATGTAACCAAAAAAAATTTGAACTAATACCTTTGAGATTTGTGATATTTTTCTAGCAAAGCAAGTAAACGTTGATCACGTGAACGATCATCTAAGACCTGCATTTTTGTCCGAGAGATGTTAATAAAGTATAGATATGAACAGAAAGTAGAAACTTAGGTTGTTAAGAACACATCTCATATTGTAAACCTAACCTCAACAATCTGCAAAACATCATGGTTGGCGGCCAAATCCTCCGAACCTACAACCACCTGAAACAAAGCCAATTTTACTTCTAAGAAAGGCAAGATAACACAATCAAAATATCATAATAATACAGATCAATACCTTAACCGGATTAGGATCCATATATTCATCAGCTAATTTATGAACTTCTATAGGCCATGTAGCGCTGAACATTACCATCTGGCGAGCTGCACATAATTAAGAGATTTCTCCAGAATTCAGATTATTGTCTGCCAGGAACAAAATTAACTCGGAATGGATGGATATGGATGAAATGAATTTCAAAGACTATCACTTATAAGATGAGAGAGAGAAGGGAGAACGTCTATATCTAACATATACCAGAAGATATCTTGCCCAATATAAAGCGGACAGGCTCCTCAAATCCCATATCAAGCATTCGATCTGCCTCATCCAGGACCTATACAAAATTATCAATTTTTGCTGAGAAACGACTGATATACAACATTTAGAAAAGGGTACAATTTTCTGCAACAGATCAAACAGTTCATTTATCTTTGAACTATATATCAATTTTTGCTGAGAAACGACTGATACACAACATTTAGAAAAGGGAACAATTTTCTGCAACAGATCAAACAGTTCATTTATCTTTGAACTATATATAAGGTAAATTACTAATAATGGGGGTTTTTTGAGGAGGCTATATTTCTTTCCAATGTTAATTTAAAGTCCAATGTGGTCCAAGGTTTCCATTATTTGGATAGACAAATACCCTACACTGAATAACTTAAGAAAGGGATGTTTTCTAAAGAGGATGATTTCCAGTCATGAGGAATGTTGATTTGTAAGTCCAATATGCTCCATTATCATTGTTTGGATGACAGTGTATGACAAATAGCCAAGAGAGAGCAACTGATTTTAAATGAGTTTTCCTTCTTTTATTAAAAAACTGAGCTTCCCCTCTTTTGTAAGAAAAAAAAAAAGTAAGCAAGTATAACAGTTATTAAAATTATAAACCAGTCCAATTCTAATATACTTCATTGAAATAATGACAATTAAATACACAATGAACATCAACATATTTAACAAAAATAACCATCAACTGATGGTCAAACTCAATCAAATAAGAGATGAGAGTAAGCAAATAAATCTCAAGAAGGATAGTGTGCTTACCACAAAAGATACCTCCATAAGATTGCACACATTCATTTCTATTAGATCTATCAGACGACCAGGAGTTCCAATGACAATATCCTAAGTGCACAAGAAAATCAATCCAAAATAAGAGGTTTGTTGCACAATGAGTATATATAGGCTATTATTTAATGCTACAGTGTTCAAAAGGATTAAGCAGGAAACACAACAATAAAACAAAAAGAGGAAGTAGTAAATTGATGTCAATAAACTTTGAATACAAGCTAATATACAACCAAAAAACTAAATAAAGATAAGCCAAGTATCATTTCAAAGGTAAAATATAAAACCTCTTACCACACCAGATTGTAGAGCCGAAATTTGAGGTTGTTTTGATGTTCCTCCATATACACAAACTGATTTAACACCACAAGATTTCCCAGCATCGGATATAACTTCATAAATCTGCAACAGCAGGCAAAGCCGATAATTGTCACATTCTTTAGGAATAAATTTCAATGTATTAAACAATCAAAAGATAACACGAAACAAGGAGAAAAAAGTGGCATCAATTTAACAACAACAACATAAAATCATGTAGAAAATAAATAGTAGTCTACAGAGCCTCTAATAGAAAATAATGCAGCTTTGTTTCCTGCTTCTGGAGTAACATCAGCGCACCACTAGCATAATAATTCAGCAGCTGTACACTTTTGCTTCAGTTGTTACTGGCATCTAAATTACTGAATTTAAGTATATAATGCGAAGATGAAAGTAGCTTTATTTTCTTTAAACGCTAAGAATAAGCTAAGAATAAGACAGGGGCACCCTTATTATTCATACTGGTTCAAGACAAGTATTAATTTTATGGGCATAAAGGTCTTCAAAAATATTTGATTTAAATTGTTTTTGTCATCAGTTCTATTAGAAATAAATCAGCTGCACTTGCATAATATAACTCAACTCACGATATGATGTCTAAGCCTTCCCAAGAACGTAATAAGTGACCCAATGCTTCTCACGCAACTCACAAAGTGGTCATATATAAAAATAATTTGACAAACAAAGACATGGTCTTATAAACATTCATACAACAATTTCAAAATGTAGCACCATGCTTCCATATCTAAAAATTAAATTTAGCATATAGTATATTACTAATTTCACAACGTTAGATTATGGATACATACTTGGTCAGCCAACTCCCTAGTAGGTGACAGTACAAGGCAGAGCGGATTAGCCTTTTTCGCAGACTTCCCCTTTCGCTTATTCAATACATGCATAATTGCAGGCACCCCAAATGCCAATGTCTTACCTACTCACATTAACCAAATTCAACATACAACATTAATCAAATGAATCCAAATATACATAAATATCTATATAAACAGAAATATACCTGATCCAGTCTTCGCAATGCCTATAAAATCACGGCCGTTCAACAAGAATGGCCACGCATGAGACTGAATTGCAGATGGATTTTTAAAATTCTTACAGCACTCCAACACATTTTCAGGAAGCTTCGCCTCAGAAAAGGATTTCAACGACACATATTTGGCTTCCTCCACACCCTTTCCAGTCACCACCACTTTAGAATCCACTTCTTGTTTCGCCTCACCGTTTTCACTTCCCTTTCCTTCATTTATTTCAGCTTCGTTATCTTCCTTATGATGCTTCTTCTTCTTAGACCCATCAGTACTTTCTTCCTCTTCTTCTTGAATTACTTGTTCATCAGACTTCGTTTCGTTTCCATTTTCCCGGTCCTTCTTGTGCTTCTTCTTCTTCTTTTTACTCACATCGGTTTCAACCGCCTCAAGCTTTCGTTTAAGATACTCTTCGTTTTGTTCTTCTTCAGTTTCAATATCTTTGTGTTTATTCTTCTTGTTCTTCTTCTTAAGTTTGATTTCCTCTGCGGGCGGTTCGCTGAAAAGAGTTGCATCTTGAAGTTTTCGGCCCATTGTAGAGGTTGGAGTAGAAGCTCAAACTGCTGTGCGAACCAAACAACACGTTTGAGCGGAGAGGTTTTCTTTTTTAGGGTTTTAGACTTACCTATTTATACATTTTTCCTCCACTTTAAAAATTAGTTTTCTAACTTAAAAATTTTATCCTTCATTAACAATTATTAAAGAGGGTATAAATTCTTTTTTATTAATTTTTAATACAAAAACTCTTGTATTATTAATCTAAAAAATTTCTTCTCCCTTCTAATCATAAACTCTTAACAAAATTTTGTCTTTTAATCATAAACCCTAATTCGATTTTTTTTTTTTCCTTGTACAAGATAAAAAAAATTAACATCAATTTGGTTATTTCTAGTCAGATCTGGTGCACCGACAAGCCAGATCCTGCCACCATCCTTAGATAATTTTTTTAAAGTTCAAAGATATTTCTGTTTTTGTAGATAAAGATAAAATAGTTCATTAGTATTTTTTGTAAAATGTCTTTAAAATAAAAACATTATTATCCTAAAATTTTATTAATAATGGGTAAAATTGTAACAAAATTAAAATTACTATCTTTTATATTATTTGACAACCAAACGGAGTAATATAAGATGACATTACCTTAGTAACAGAGATTACCCCCAACCAAGTATTAAAACCTTTGGATTTTCTTCAATTTTCTGATATGCACTTCTTCAAGAACAAATAAACTAATAATCTTAAAAACATATCCCTTAAGAGGAATTTTTTTATTATTGATTCAAAATAATAACAATAACTTATTTTAATTTTCTTGTACATATTTTCATAAGAAGAAATCACGTGTTATATAAATTTTCATAAGAAATATTAATGAAAATTTCAGTCCTCTAAATATTTGGTGAACTAAAAACATTTAAGAGTTGGTGGTATTTAACTATTTCTATTAATAGAAATATATTCTTATTTAATGCATCATAATTAGTAAATAATTAAACTATTATAGTGTCATCTGGGTTTAATAATTAGATAAGGGAAAATTAAATAAATATAAATATGTCAGGAAATTGTCCAAGTTCTTGATAGTGATTACCAACCCAAGCTTGTTTATCAAATTTATGCTTATGACAGAAACCCTTTACAGAAGAATTCAAACAAATGCCAACAATTCCATTGAAAAAGAATTGGAATCTAAAGCACCATAACACTTCTTTCAAGAAAAAGAACATAACTCATGCATTTACATTGCTGAAACATTAACTCAATAACTAAAAGGAAGAACCTAAAAAAAAGAAAGGGTTAAGAATCCTCTAAGCAGATTAGCACCTCTAAGATCATTTTTAAACCAAGTCAAATCCAAACCTAAACCTCTGAAATCTGATGTGAGCGAGACTCGACCATAGAACCTCTTATCCAGTTACAATCGATCTTACCGGCTAAGCGAGCTGGTAACCGCGACTACAATGAACGCTCAACTTTCGTAATGATAGGGATAATGGGGTGGAGGTGGGGGTGGATAGATGTAGTGGGGGAGGGAAGAATGATGATAGATATACTGTGGTGGGGAGGTGGGAGGATGATAAACATGGTGGGTTGGGGAAGGGGAACTTGGTTCGCTGTTCAAGGGGCTGGCAGTGTGAACTTGGTGTTTGTCCATTCTAACTTCCACCTTTTCTTCTTCTTCTTGGAATGATTGGAATGAATGGAAAATTGGGTGCAAGTAAGCATCAGCCAGGTATGCCTTTAAGTTGAGTTCAGGTTCCGTGGTTCGCTCCATAATGTCCTTTGCCATTGCTTCCTGTATAAGAAAAATGGAGTAACTTCATCAACAGCTGGTAAGTTCAAGTCATGCTTACATATCTTCTTGAGGTTTTTAGTAACTTTGTCAAACAGCTTGAAAACTAAATTATAATCAGCCCGTACGATAAAGAAAATAAAGAAAAGGTTCAGTTATGATGCCAAGCAGTTATTATAACGTTCTTTTTGTGTTAGTGAATGATTTTCTGAGACGGAGCTTACCTCGAGTGGGTACTTTCTAAATGCAGGTTCAAAACGACGTTTGCAGTACTTGTGGAAAGCTAATGTCAATATCGGCAAGACGATAAGTAGAGGAGTAGAATTGGCAGCTTCCTTGGTACTAAGCAGACCCAACAACAGTAGTTGAGATATCAATAAGCTTGCAATAATGCGGCTGTGAACATGTGGCCAGAATGCACCAGCACTCTCATATTGTTGATTGTAGACATTAATTATCTGCACAATCAAGGTGGTGTGTTATGTTACAAGCAGAATGAATGCCTAGAAAGATTTATCATTATGCATGCAATAACATGATCCAGAAAGACAACCATTTATCAGAACTTTACATGATTTTATATAATCACAAAAAGTGATAAATTATACACAAATTAACATTTAGGATAATGTATGAATTTGATATTGGGTAAAATTATAGGTAACTATTATACTTGCCTAAAGAAATAGTAATTGCCAATCAGTCTTCCAACACCCCCAATCCCAAAAAAAATACGAAAGTAACTACCATTTTGTTGACACTCGTGACCACTAACAAGATAAATTTTAGGAGAAAAGAAAGGCAGTGTGAATAAGCTGACCTGGTGACGGTAAACCAAGTAGGCTAAGGCAAAGAAGACCAACATAAAAGGAAGAAGAATTGGTGTAACCACAGCATAGACAATTCCCAAAAGGAAGTATAGCTGGAGACTTGGGAGAGTTTCTGGGAAATCAACACTACCAGGGTTCATTGCCTTTTCCCTGTCTCTTTCAGTCTTCACTATAAACATATTCTTGAGATGAAAGATGACCAATGGTTTTAATCGGAGAATCTCACTAGCAATGCCAGCCCACCCATCAACCATTATGTATGTAATAAAGAATGTGGCCTTCATTGGTATGGATACCCCAATGGTTCGAGGAATCCTGCAATGAAACAAAGTGAATATACAATTTTCAATTCTAAGGGAAGCATATTAAGACAAATTATGATAATAACTACAGTTCTACAGAGTGGGCATATTGTTCAATATTGATAATTGATAACACCATTACAAGAGCAATCAGATTGGGGAGATCATTTTCTGACACAATAGCATAATATCTCATAAAAATTTCAAGCAAAGAAATAAAAAAATCTCTCAGCATAAAGGATATAATATATTACTGGGTTGGTGATTGATGAAGGAAAGAGTGCAGTTGCTCAAAAGCTGTTCCAGCAATGATACTTCCTAAGAAGACATTCACCAACATGAAGTAATAGTACTTTGCTGATGTCCTTCGTTCTAGATTTGATACGGCTATATGTCCCTCAATCTTTGACATTATCATCAAAACTGTTGGAAGTATGTACAAGAAGATTTTAAGAGCAAGACCAGGAAGAAAACCCTGAAGGAATGACTTGATGAATTTCCTGCAAAATATTGCCAGTTAATTCCAAGGCAGGCAATAATGAAATATGATAAATTTATATAACCAAATGTGCAAATAGCTATTTAAGAGAATTACTATGAAGAATTTGACATGAGAAAAGACCATATCACCATGATTCATCCCTTATGGAAAGAAAATATTATCAGTTCATCCCTTCCCAAAGATGCCGCACTAACATTATACAGAATACTCACTAACTTGTACTGATATAAAGTTCATATTATTGAATTACATGTAAGACCAATGGCTATATTTTTCTATTCAGGCCGGCATCAGCTGGGAGGAGCAAATTATGCTTACTAAACCAGATAAGCAGAATAAAGTAAAATAAAATCAAAATTGTTTTTAATACGTTATCTAAGCCAAAATATATAGTCTACTGCATAAAAACAGAAATACACGAGGACTATGATTTTGCATATAATTTTAGTATTGATGAAAGAAGAAAAAGTCACAACGATATGACCTTCCCATATTCAGCTGAAATGAAAGTAAACAATTTCCATAAATATAGTACAGGATATACCAAAGACATAGAAGCCCTATTCCAATGCTAATTGATCTACGAAGGTGCCTATAAAACTTAAGCACTGGATGAAAAGATGAAGTTTAGCATGAGAAACTTTACGCATCAAATAAATAAGTTAATGCTTCATAAGAATCATAACAAATTGCAGAACCACATTAACCAATAACCAAAAAACTAAGAAAAGATGATAAGTACACTTACAATTCTATCACCGGCCTGAGGAATGGAGCAACTTTTTCAAGACCCTCCAAGTTGGCAAGAGATTGTACAAAAGCAATAGGTATCATATAGAAAAAAACCAAAGCAAACACAGACAATGATATAATAAATTTCCGGATGGTTAATGAAACAAATGGTATAGCCAAGTTGCGCCAGTAAACATCTCGAGGTTCTGGGGCCCAATTTGTCAACCATAGAGTAGGATTCTTGCTTTGTTGTGTCTGTGCACAAACAGCAGCCCCCCAACGTGATTTAAATGAAACAAAGGTAACTGGAAGAACAGATTTTGAGTTTTTCAGAATTTTCTGCCGCTCCAATGACATCTGACAGAGTACAAGGTTGCAACATACCACTATTAGAGCAACTCAAGAATCCAGAAGGAAATTGCAGAAGGCTATATCTGATGTACAGAGTTGAATGAAACTAATGTTGAATAAACTTTTTTATATTTTATTTTAGAATAGAAGCACATTTTAAGATGGTTGTATGCATCACAAAATATGAATTGTTGGAGATAAATCAACTTTACTTACTTTTTTCTCAAAATCCTTTATTTGTTGATTGTAGTATTCAATAGCATCAACTTTTTTACCCCCAAGTCCCAGAAATCCTGTCTGAAATTGAAAAGCATTTACAGCATCAAGTTTTAACAATCTAAAATTCAGAGAATGGCAATTCAGATATTACTCAATAGATCTTGCCGTTATATACATTAGACCACAGTGCCTGTACCGTCTAAGTTTATAAGAATGAATTACCTTCTTAGTGGGCCTCTTCTCTGGATGCCTTTCAAACTTTAGTTGGTTATAGTCCAACCAATTTCGTAGCCTGTCTCTTTTCCTCACCAACTTAGCAAATTTGTTTGCATTGTAAACTGCCTGAATTAAGAAAGAA